ACGCGCGCGCACACTTGTCCGTCGCAAACGCACCCCCCAACTGCCGACGAAGCAACACAGAACACCAATCCCGAGAATAATCAATTCACCACATGACGCACACGTACGACATACATACCTCCCACCGCTCCTGCTCCACTTCCGGCCCCCTCATCACCGCGAACGGTACCAGCTTGACCGGCTCCCCCGACTTGACACCCCCCGGCGCCGGCGCCGGCGCCGTAGCCGCCGCGGCCGCCGCGTCGACCGCCACCACCTGCTTCGGAGTCCCGCCCCCGCTCGGGCGCCCGTTCACCGTCGCCACGCCCCCCCCCTCACTCGTCGCTGCTGCGGAACCCCCCCCACCTGCAGCCGCGGAGTCCCCGCCGACACCGGCCGCTCGATCTTGCGCCGCGTGTGACTCGCGCGCCGCCTCCAGGTCCTCCACCATCGGCTTCCTGGCGCCGGCCCCCGTCCACCCCACCCCCCCGTTAACCGCGTCGCCCCCCCCCTCCCCGGCGGCGTCGGCCTCCCCCAGGGAGGCGTCGCGCTCGGGGAGGAACTCGAGGGACAGCGAGGAGATGCCCAGCAGCCGGCAAGCGGTGTTGAGGTGGGTGTGCTTGAAGAGCCGGCGGACGGCTACCGGCATCTCCGAGTAGGAGTTGACCCACTCCTTGGCGATGCGCACGAGCTCTCGGAAGGAGTTGCACACTCGGAGGCGGTCGATCTGCCGCTCTCGCTGCGCGGTGTTTCGGGGGGGGAAAAGCGGGGAGGAAGGGGTTGAGGCAGCGACAAATGGAAGGTACTTAGCTTGAAAGAGAGAGGGAGGGAGGAGAGAAAAGAGAGCGAGAGAGAGAAGAAAGCTACAACTTAGCTTGTACGAGGGAAGAGAAAAAAGATATGGAGGAGAGAGAGAGAGAGATGGAGAAACACAAGGACAGAGACATAAGAGACAGAGACAGAGACAGAGAGCGGTCTCGAAAAGGCATCGTGCTCGAGGTCACCCGTGTTGTGTTCCGAAAAACACTACTCAACCCGAACGATACAAATCGATTTTTCAGCTTTCCCCCCGCAAGGAGCTTGCGCTAAACGCTCGCCGGCGTGGCACGTGCACTCTGTGACTACATACGGGCGCCACACACGGGGCCGCCTCCGCTGCGGCCGCCGCCGCCGGTATACAAGGATGAAAAAACAAACACAAAAAAACAACAAGCGGACACCAACACCACAGCTGTCGAAAAAGCACCATCCGAGAAAAAAACGGGCACAGAAGTACAACCGATCGTCCCGGGGGCTCAGTTGGCACTCTCGACACTCTTGACCGTCTGACTCGCGACATACAGCAATGCGACTTCGAAAATCTCTCTCTCTCGAGTACATCGAGTATAGCACTAGTAGAGGAGTAAGGTCCATGTTCGTGAGCAAACGTAGGAGAGATGGGACGAAACACACAACACACACCTCTACAACGGGAAGCTAGAAAGCAGAACCGTCGGTAGAAACGTGCATTATTCTTCATGCCCTACCGTTTCTTTCGTCAATCCGAGGAATAGCCTAGCCTCTCCCGTGACACCCCCTCACGGGGTCCCAGATCAATGCCTCTAGGAACGCTTTCTGTTTAAGCCACGCTGAGATTGACGTCTTGTCATTGGTCAGCCGGCTAGCGCCATAGAAGAAGAAGAAAAAAAAGCACACACACACACCTCTTCGTCGTCGCAAGTCATGTAGTCCGCCGGGACCGAGCCCTTAAGCTCGGCCCCGAACCCCATATCCACCTCGCAGCGAAGCACGGGCTGGATGTCCGTCCCTCTCACAGACACGATCGCCTTCTCCAGCATGTTCATGTACAGCTCGTACCCGATGTCTTTCAGGTCCCCCGACTACATTGCATCGTGGTGTAGTTGTCCGGCAGGGCAGAAGCGCGGTCGGCGGGAGACGAGCGTCGTCGGTAATCATCATCCATGCGTCGCCGTAAAGGGAGTTCGGCAGTTTTGGTGGGGAGAGGGTCGTCGTCATCATCAGTCATGGGTGCCCGTACAAAGGAGTACTGTGGCGGCGGTGGTGGGGTCCTGTTTAGACCCCTTGTGCCAGGAGGGGATATGGTCGTGGTATTCAGGGCAGGCCGCTTATGGCCGGTCCAGCGGCTATTTGTATTCGGGGTGCAGTGCCGTGGTGTCACGCGATTTAGTGGTCGCCATAGACACAGCAGGGCATGCCGCTGAACACGAAACGTCTACAAGCCCTTTCATCGATAGGGAGGCACAGACTACGGGCCTGAACTGATCATGAAAAACGATATTTCCCCTTCCCAACCGGGGTTCGGGGAAAAGAGAGGGAACGAACGGGAGGAGTGGGGGAAGGAGAACCTGCGCGCATTTTTCTGCACATGCCACATACCTGGTCCGTTCCGAAGATGTTTCCCGCTCCTCGGATTTCCAGGTCTCGGTTGGCAAGCTCGAACCCGGACCCCAGGTGGCTAAGCTCTCGCATCGCCTTGAGTCGCCGCTTGGCCTCGTTGCTGAGCTGGTGACCTGGGGGGTATAGAAGGTACGTGTAGGCCGCAACGTCTGACCGCCCGACCCTACCGCGCATCTGGTACAGCTGAGACAGTCCGAACATGTGGGAGTCCTGGCAAGCGAAGGGGGGTGCGCAGATGGAAAACACGTAATGTAAGTGCGGGGGGGAGGGCAGGGCAGAGGAGAGTGTCCGCTTGAGTTTATTTCCATCTGAAGCGGCGGGAACGGGGGGGGGGGCAGGACGAAGGATAGGTGTGGACGGACAGCCTTTGTTGTTCCGCCGAGTTGATGTTCAACTGCAGCGGCGGGAAGTTGTAGATGGCAGCACCCCCCCTCCCTAGATTTTGTGCAATGCGACGGTTCGATGCGATCACACGCCTCCCATGTTTTGCCGCATGGGCATATAGCTATCGGCCCCGTTTAGAATAGCAGACTACAAGAATCACGCCCGACCGATGGCAGGCAGCTCTGTGCCAATACACTTCCCGCTTTTCGAAAAACCCCTAAACAACTACTTCGAAATATTATCCAGGAGCAACGGCAGATCAGGTGCTGCATGAACAAACAAGCACAAGTTCGTTCGACAGTATGTACAATAACCCTAACCCTTGCCAATATACACAGGCCCCACAACCGGCACGCAGAGTACAGCAGTCGACGTTTTTTTTCCCCACTATAACGGTACCCTCACTATAGCGGAATGCCCTCTATTGCGGCACCAAAACCTCTTGTCACTACCTACCGCTATTGAGGATCGCCGACTGTGAAACTGAACAACCCTTTTCACCGACGAAGAAAACAAAAACCCTTACCAACAGACTCTCGAAAGGTTGTCGCCTTGCCGACGGACATAAAAGTAAATTACCCTTAACAAACATTTCTCGAATGCCTAAGGCCGTTTGTCCCCTTACCTGTATCACGATGGAAGTAAAGAACCAACAAACTCTCGAAAGGTTGTCGCCTTGCCAACGAACATAAATTACCCTTGACAATAGAGGCTCGAGTGCCTAAGGCCCTTTGTCCCCTTACCTGTACCACGATGGAATTAACGTTCGGCATGTCGATACCGTTCTCGATGATGGAGGTCGCCAGCAGGATGTCTCCTCTGCCCAGCGTGAACTGCAGCACCACATCCTCGAGGTTCTTGATCTGTCGCGTGCCGAGATCGTTGTTTTGTTGTTTGAGAGTTCGTGAGGGCTGGCATTGTTGTGGCCAGCTGGTAACACTGCACAGCAGATTAGCGTCTACAAAAACAAAAAAAAAAGAAAAAAAGAAGACGAAAATGAAGAACAGAAAAAAAGCTCCCCGGGCAATGGATCCCCAGAAAATTGACAACACGTTGCCTCCACACAAATACCACGTACCCCAAAACAAACTTGGCAATAATAAAAAATATTTTGAATGTGCGCGTGTTATTTTTGCTAAACTTAATGACTCTTGAAATAAACTTAAAAACGTTTGGTTAAGGGGAAGACATATCAAGCTACACAGCTGTGATACAAACATAACGTTATGCTATGCTTTGCTTTTACCTTAGAGTGCCCCACCGCTACCCTGGCGTTGGGAACACACCGGCTGATCTGAAGCCAAGCGTCCTCTATTTGGTTGATCCTTGGAACCACGTAGAACACCTGTTGGGTTCCAACCAAGAGAGGGTTGTTGTTGTTGTTGTTGTTGTTGTTGGCATTGTCCGTTGTTGATGCGGTCTTGACACACAAACGGAAACTCTGTCTGCACCGCACCCAGCACCCCTTCCCTTCCGGCACAGAGTGGGCGAGCGAGCTACTATTTACACGACAAACAAGAGGTGCTCAAGCCAAGAGCGGAGTCTACAACGCACAACCTGACCCTGGCCACGACACGGCGGCGATGAGCGCGTCGTCCTCAAACCACGGCATGCCACGTCTCTACCCAGTACCTTCATCTGTCCGTACTAGTCTTAATTAACGAACACTTGACGCGGTTGATCCCCGTGGTCACAGGCCAACATACCCAAAAAAGGTATATTTACTTAAAAAAGAAAAATGGACTCGAAGGGTCCGCAAGTCAGTAGAAAATCAACGACAGGTGGCCTAGAACCCCCCGCTCGCCTCTACAGTACATGCTATGTACGCGAGGAAAAACATAGCATTAGAAGCACAACAACAAGAACAAGAACAAATACGACAACACCCACGCAACCGTAAAGCACAAGACGTTGGACAGGACACTTCCAAGAACGGCGACATTGGATGAACCCAACAGCGACAACAACAAGAGAAACAAACACACGCACCTGACCCCCTCGACTCATCTCCCGAGTAAGCGCTCGCTGCACGATCTCGTCGGTCCCCTTCATGATGTACGTCGTCACATTCTGACGGTTGGCGGGGGGACTGAAGATGGTACTAAGGTCCCGGATGCCGGTGAGGGACATGTGGAGGGTCCGCGGAATCGGGGTCGCCGTCAGCGTCAGAACGTCCACGCCCGTGGTCAACACCTGATTTTTTTTTGGGGGGGGTTGGGATTTTCAGGGAGGGGTAAACCCAAAAGGGGGGGGGGTGTACTCATAGTCGTGCATGCCGTAGTCGTTAGACCATTGACCTCGCATCCCTACAAAGCCGGGACGGAGCACGCCGGGTTCTCACCGGACCAGGCTCTCACATCACCAAGCGCGAAGCGCCGTGAGGTATTCGGCGAGTCGCATGAAGGGTGAGCTGCATCCTGCTAAGGGTGTTCGGCATCTTGTGCTTACTTCCTTGCCTACGGATGACAGCTGCGTATGACTTAATTTATTTTCTGGTGCTTTCACTTCCAGAGACAGTTATAAGCACTATGTAACTGCCTCGAGGATGCTTGACCATTGTAACACAACGTGGTGCGATCATCCCCCTTGCGCGGAGCGAGGGTTCTCCACCCCGCACAACATGACCTACTCGACCACCATTATGGTTACCGCCAAAAAAAAAACAGAGGTAAAAAAAACGGTAACCTGGTTGCGGAGTTCACGAAGTGAATTGGCTTGTTTTACAACGTCGTTGCCAAGCGACGAAAACCCAATCCCGATGGCAAACACCGAGGGGGGGGGGGGGGGGGTAAGCGTTTTTCTTTCTGAATCGACGTCACCCAACGGCAAACACACACACACGTGTTGCCGCCTATAGGAAATTGACAAATATTACGGACAAAAAATCACGCCGCTGGTTTCAGCGGGGTCAATTTTGTTTCATCCCCTCCCCAGATTTGACCAAAGTACACGGGCACTTCAAGCAGGTCATGCCCTCAACCGGAAGCTGTTTTTACCCTTTGATTTTGCTTTGGACGCGAGAAATGCCTCACGATCACATCTGAGTTGAACCAGCTTTCTGCTGCTGTGCGCAAACTTCAGCTCTTGGGAGCCAACTTTCACCGAGGTTGGCTGAAACACTACGGTCCCCCGATTCGGCCGATGCTTGGCCTATCGTAGAGATAAAAGGCCATAGAACGAATCCATGACGTGCACGATTAGGGATCTCCACTACAGCGTCCGCGGTTGGCCTGCGAAATTCGGCCCAAACTCAAGTGTAAACTCCAGTAGTCAGCAGAGTGGCCTCCAGAACGATAATGCGTCTACCTCCGAAAACATGATAGAAATCCACGCAATGGAAGCAAGCAACGGACTTAAAACGCGTTTGCTGAATACCTAACCTGAACCAAATCAGACAAAAACTGCTATGTGTGCGTCTTTACATGTGCAACGCATAGATTATGTGCACGATTGGGGATCAGCAACACGGCGAGAGTTGTAGCAGAACAACTAAAAGTCCCTCGCGGAAAGACTGCCTCGGGATGTGATTCCAGGATTAGTAATGTCCGTATAAAGAAGAAGTTTTGGCAATTTTGCAATTTTTCCATAGGCGGCAACACGTGTGCACATGCACACACGCGCACAAACTTAACGCACCACTACCCGCTGATATCCACGACCCACTAAACTTAAGCTTTTCCTTCTGGTTCACACAACCATCACTTTCTCCTCTGGTCACAACACTCTCACTAACCTTGAGCTTTTCCTTCTGGTTCACGCCGAACTTCTGCTCCTCGTCGATGACCAGCAGGCCCAGGTTCGGGAACTCCACCTTCCGGCTGAGAAGCGAGTGCGTCCCGACAACCTAAGCCGTGAGGATCAACAGCAGCAGAAGAAGGATAACAACGTAAAAAAAATAAATAGTAGAGAGATGGGGGCATACGACACCCATGGGAGAACGATAAATAAATGCTGTTGTGTGTCTATTGTTGCTATGAGCAGCACCGCTGTGAAACAAAAAGCTAACTGCTGATGACGAAAATGAGCTACACACGGGGCCGTGCAAGCCCAGCACGCCATAAAATGCGCACTTCGGCAACTCCGGTGCATGCCCCTGCTACCGCGGAACAGAGGGTGTCCGAGAACACCAAAATTTCAGCAATGAATGTTGCCTGGCCGGTGCCCCAAACCATCGCAAAAAAACACAAGTGGTATACTCTAGAAGGAAAACACAAAAGCCAACGTCCTTCTTTTCTTGTAGAATAAAAACAGATCTTTCTTATCTCCGTCAATCCACAGGTGGAAAAGAGCCCAGGAAAAACATTTCGCGAAAATTTCCTATTTAACTCACCACGCGAACGGTTTCATTTCGGATGGCCTCCTTGATGCCCCTGCTGCCCATCGAGTTGCCCCCTCTCAAGAGTGCCACGTTAACATCCGCGGGCATTCTCTTAAGGAGAGTCCTACAGCACGCGCACAAAGCAGAGAGTGGACAGGGGGGTGTACTCTTGTAAGCGCATGCGATAGCCGTTACACCATAGACCTTGCATGCCAGAACGAAGCGGTACGCTGAGTTTTCAGGGGGGTGTACTCATGTAAACGCATGCGATAGTCGTTGGATCATAGACCTCGCATGCCGGGACGAAGCGATATGTCGGGTTTTTACCGACCCACTCTATCTACGGTTCACAAGGATGATCCACAAGAGCGCGGGCAGGGGGAAATCAAGGTGGCAAGTGGTTCAATTCGAAGGCCGAAATGAATCAAGTCGACCCCCTTACTACAAGCATGTTTACTTCCTTTGCAGAGTGGATTCCAAGCATTCCTAAAATTAAATTTTCCAAGCTGTGTCCCGTCAGATGCTGACAGCTACGTGGGAGAAAAGCAACACTCCAAAAAGTCCACCAACTACACAAAAACACAAAGGTATCGTGTCTCCAAACTAACAAGATCGACTCGAAGCAGGTGAGCAACTGCAAATCCCCCCCCGGCGTTGCAACAGTGGCATCGGAAGAAATGCATGGTTTCAACGACATCTCGAAAATCGGACGCCGTTCCGTCGACCCTGTACTGTACGTAGTCGGGAGTGTTTCACATTCCTACTGAGGGGTCCGCGTTAACGTAGAGCAGAACGTCTTCGTTTCATTTTCAATGGACAGCAAGAGGAGAGGCCGCCACAACCCCACGGACAACAACACGACGACGACGACAACAACGACAACAACATCGACGACCACAACAACGACAGCAGCGGCGGGAACAGGTTCAGAAGCCAGCAGCAAAAACAACAACACAGACAAGACCAAGAGCGGTGGAGAGGAACGTCGGTCAGTCTTCACCCACCTGTAGTGTTGCGCGGCCAAGATCGTCGTTGGCGCCAAAAGCGCCACCTGTTTGTTGTGCCGCACCATCCTGGTTTGTCGTCGCCGTTCCCGAAGCGAAGGGAGGTGCAAGAAAGGGGATTACGCCGAGAAACGTTTTGGCTAATGTTCCTTAAGCGGGGCGAAGTAATAGCGATGTACACGAGAGGAGCGCTAGTCAAGAAATATCATCCTGGTTGTTCGTTGTTGTTTCCGAAGCGGAGCGAAGCACACGGGAGCTACAGACCACGAAGAAGACACTCTTGACTGACAATGAGCTATTATTTCGAGTCGCGTTGAGAGCCTCCGCGAACACGAGTGCTTACACTCTACAATCAGATGATAAACAAAATGGCAGGCGCACAGCTTTCCACGTAGCTTCGCGACGTCATTGTAGAAAAAGGAACAAGAGCTCTGTGCTCGTACAATCAACTTGAATCAACACGAAATTTTATCCCCAAGGAAACGAGAATCAATTGGGCAAGCACCGTGGGCACACGGCAATCCGTAGACGTACAACGAATCAATGATAACATCCTAGCCCTGACTCGCACCCCGTAACCCCAGCCAAAATCAAGATAAATATCCCCGCGGAGGCTACTGCATCGCCTACGGCAGTACAGCAGTACCTGAACATGGCGCGGAGGGCCACCTCGGTCTTTCCGAAACCCACGTCTCCGCACAGCAGTCTGTCCATGGGGATCTTCCTCCAGATCATGTCGTTCTCGATCTCGGTCAGGCACCGGAGCTGCGGCGCACCCGCCCAACACGTAAAAACACGCACAACAAACCAGACGTCGTTTCATCGGTCAGCCGGTTAGCGCGGTCGGTGCTAACGAAGAAAACGGATGGTACGCCCACGCGTCACACCCGGCATTTAGAAGCATTTTTTCAGGCGCACCGAGACTGACGTATTCCTCTTGAGTAAATAGCGCGGTCGATGCCAACAACAAAAAAAAAACACACGTGCGTCAGGTATATACGCCGAAAGGCCTGTAAACGGGGCCAGAATAGATGGGACGAATGCACACACACACGCACGCCATGTTTGTTGTTCTTTCAAAAACAACGGATTCCTCTCTACAGGCAAGGTAACGAAGAGTCGAAGAGTCCGGGAGAAACAGCCTTTTATTTATTCTTACACATGATACCCCGCCATACACAAGACAGAAAGGCGCCCTTCGTTGGCCCGCCGGCTTGCGCGGTGGCGGCCGATGCTCATTCAAGAGACACACCAACGCACGCACGCACTGCATGCACGCAGGCAGGAGAGGCGTGGTTCGGGCCACACGTTGGTGCCGGTAAGCTACTGCTGCTGGTTCTAATATAAATATTTTCCGAAGAGTATGCGCACAATGGCAAGCAACAACACGACAGACAAACGAAAACTCTGGTATTTCAAATGCTCCGTACGTCGTCGCCATGTCCGCCCGTGGTCTACAGACGCAAGGTTTTCTTTTCCATGAGCCGCTACTCTCAAAATCAAGTGGCATCTTCGTTTTTGGCGGGGTCGTCGTACACACGCAGAGTCACGTTTGAGTTTCACCGACCATCGGCCTGATCCGTCCAGCGACGCCGGCAAGCAACCAAACCTCACGGGAGCAACACAAAGAGGTGACCAGGCACAAACCCACACACAGGCTGAACGCAGAGGCAACCAAACATGCACCTGCAGCAGTACCGAAACAGTAGTGGACTCTGGAAGGAATATAAAAGCCACGCTTCGGACCATTTCAGTTGAATACCCATAGGAAAGTGCGCGAGAACAACTTCCGATTGCAGAATAGAGCAACAGGGGACAGGACCTTAGTAGCCCCTCTTTGGGGGTCCGATGTGGCCCATCAACCGCTGCTGCCCTGGACGAGAAAATAGAAAATACACAAGCGAGTCCATCACCGAGGGTCTTCCAGATTGTTGCACAACGCGTAGCAATCCCTTACGCTTGTCGCCATCGGCAACGACGTCTGGCTGCTTTTCCCCACCGGTATTCAACCTAAATGTGTTTGATACCCCTGCACTCAAAGCTCATCACAACAGCAGACAGACGGACAGTCAGTCAGCCGGTCAGCCAGGTAGACAGTGCGTTTTTTCAGAAATCCGGGGCCGCTAATGCTCACCTGATCCTTTGTCGGCTGGTGGTCGAAGCCCTTGCAGAACTCGTCCATCTCCGGCCCGTCCGGCTTGCAGGGGTCTCGCTCTACCCTCGCGCGCTTGGCGTACAGGTCCATCACGTTCACGGCCTGCTTCGTGACTCTCTCTTGCACCTGTGTTTCGACATTCATTGTTACTTATGATTAACCCCAGCCCGGTCGTGTTGTCGTAGATCACGCGGACGCTTCTTAGGCTCTGTCTCTGTGTCCCTGACTCTGCCTGCCTGTCTGTCTATGTCTCTCTCTGTCGCTCTCGCTCTCTTTTTCTCTGTGTCTCTGTCGCTCTCGCTCTCTCTCTCTCTGTGTCTCTGTCTCTCTCTCGTATGTCTCTCTGTGTCTCTGTCTCGTTCTGTATGTCTGTCTGTCTGTCTGTCTCCCTTTCGATCGGCCTTTACTAATGGACCTTGTGAGCCTCTGTGAGCTCAACAGCATAGACGGCTACTCTCCAACCGAGCCATGCTTGATATTGCTGGCCGCGTTGCTGACCAAGTGCGAATTGTGGCAAAGGTCAAGACAAGACAAGGGGCGAGGGGAGGCCGTGCACAGCAGTGCCCGGGCCACGGGAGAGCCGCCGAGCACTACCCCAACCTTACAACCTTTTCCGATAGCCCCGAGGAACAGGGTGATACAGGTCGTCTGGAAATATCAGATTCAACAAAATGCTGCATCCAACACCGGACACCGCGCAACCCTCGTTGCAAGGTATTCAGGCTTCATCGCAGATGTCCGCTCTACCAAGAGCAGCATACATGGGGTTCTCTAGCAGCGAATCGTACAAGTACCACATATCCAACCAAACCACACAACAACAGCAGCAGCAATGAATACCTTACGGCCAGGAGGTCGTTGACGGTGGCGGAAAATAAAAAGGCCAGTTTCACAAACCGCAGTAACGGTCGTGAGCTATTTATAGCCGAAGGACAAGACAAGATAAGATGGCCAAAGAGAAAAAACCAACAGAAAATAGCGAACCAACCCTCCATCTTGCGACACAACAACCCCTCCCAAAAGAACAAAACGACCAAAAAGCCCTTCGTTGTTGGGGATGAACAAAAAAAAGACACCACGAACCTTGAGCTTGTGTCGCAGCCAGCTGTTCTGGTCAGACACCACGGACAACGGCACCCGAGCCGCGTCTGCCGCTCTGTACCGCGTCAGCAGGTACGACTGGTCCTTTGCTATTGGAAGGTTCATGTCCTGAAACGCGGGGGAATACGCACACGTTGTTTTACCCGAACGGGCATCGGGCGGGCGGGGGCGGGTCCTGGTTGGAACAACAACCACGGCAGTCAGCCTTAAGGCGATGCTTTCCGCATAAGAGGAAAACGTAATGGGTAACGGCGGTGTACAAATCGATGTGCTGTCTTAGGGTCATATAATGTAGGTCTCAGGAAGGGAATACTTCGGTCGCAGCTGCGCGCAAAAGATTGTTCCGAGTACTGCCACGTCTGCTTGGGCCTCTGGAAGGGCGAGCACGGCAGGCACGGAGCCCTCACGCAGAACATCGAAACCTGTAAATGAACACAACGGCTTGCCCCAATTGCACTGTACAGCGTTCATCACCAGACAAGAAACCAAGCGAGCAAAAGCTATGCGCGCTTTCGTCGTTCCAAAACAACTGTTAGCCCCAATTGCACTCCACAGCGTTCAGTACCCGAGACTCGAAAGATACAGAGAGCAAAAAGCCATGTGCGCTTTCGGGGTTCCAAACAACATAAACAGAAGGAAATACCAGGTTCAGGGGACCCTCGAGCGGAAAACGCACGTCCTATCGCGCGCCGTGCTGGTTCTCCTCAAGGCGAAGAAATTCGGAAATGTGTCGAAACAAACGTCAGCAGCTACAACGCACCTGGCGGCGAAACATGATCCATAGGCGAACCAAGCACAAAACCCTTGCGAGCAAAGTAAAAGGAAAGGGGTTCAAGTGTCATAGTATGAAAACCACGGGGCCTCCGCGCGAAGGCATACACACGCAAGGCAGGCGCACCGAGAACTCCAGCAAAATCTCCTCCGGGTTGGCATCAGGCGTAAACTCGGGGGCCAGGTAGCGGCAGAACCCGAGGTCCTCGTGCACCATATAGTCGTGGTGGTACACTATCCTCTCCTTGCCGAAAGCTCCCACCTTCAACCCTTGTTTCTGCACGCAGGAGACAAGCGCGAAGGAAATGGTAAAGAGAATATCAGGGGAGACAAATGTAGGTTGAATTGGAACCAGGGAGAGCGTTAAGACACAGGCGGACATCATCTTCCCCTTCCTTTGGCACAGCAGTGGTGCGAAGCAGAATAGCAAGAACAGTTGGCGTGGGCGGCGACAGCGTCAAGGATGGTGGCAGTTATGGGTGGTTACCAGATAACGGGTGCAGCGACAAACACACGGCGGCGGTGTCGCGGTGTGGGGTATGGGAAGTAGTGAGGTGGAGGGGTCGAATCGCGTCCGTATCGGGGGTGGATACCACGCTAAAAACTACACGATGTAGCCGGCCGCGCGACTGCAAGGAGCGCACAACGCAGAAAGAGAGGGGAGGGTGGCCCTGCCGTGCTTTGGAGGCATGGAAGGGGAGTTGTCCGGGTGGATGTTGCATGTCCGGTGGGTCTGATATCGCCGTCACTGCTGTGGAAAAATTCTTGATGGATCCTTCGCTAGACAGGTCCGGACAAGGCGAACGTATGACGCCCAAGCGCTAAAGTCACAGACACCGCGTGCAACAAGATTACAAGCCTGTCCTGTTAACCGGCATTACCTTCCCGTCCCCCCCCCTGGCCCAAGTAGGACCGGCACACCGCCATCCCTTTCGACTTGTCTGGTACAAACCAAATGGTCCCCCGCTTATGCTACCCACGAGTGTCCATCGCACACCTGACGCGCTAGAACCCGTAGCAAACGTGCCAGATGCTGGTGACATGTTAACGCCCCAGTTAGCACCAACCTGGATGTTGGCAGACAGAGCATCCTGGCGGGCCTCTTCCTTATCGAGCTCCTCCTTAGTCTTCTTCTTACTCTTCTTGGCCCTGGGCTCCTCTCCCTCCTCGTCCTCCTCATCCTCCTCATCTTCTTCATCATCATCATCTTCCTCACCCTCGTCCTCGTCCTCGTCTTCCTCCTCCTCCTCCTCCTCCTCCTCCTCCTCCTCCTCCTCCTCCTCCTCCTGCTCTCTCTCCTTCTCTAACCGAGCCTTCTCCGCCTGCTCACGCTGCTGCTGCTGCTGCTGCTGCTGCTGCTGCTGCAACTGCTGCTGCTCCAGCGGGACGAATCCCTCCCTCGACACGAGCACCGTCGGCCCGTCCCCCCGCGCCACGCTAGCCCGCAACTCCTTTCGCTGCTCCCCAGCTAAAGCGTTGAGGGCGTTCCGGTCCGCTTCCTCCCTCTCCATCGCCTCGATCGCCGCCTGGCGCCCTGCCGAGGCTGCCTGTGCTATCTCGTACGACGCCACCTTCGTCGACTCCGGCACCGGCGTACGGCTTCGCTTCGCTGCCGCTGCCAGCGTTTTTCTGCCCAGCCCCCTCCTGCGTCTCGGCTTTTCCGGGGCCACCTCGACACCACCGCCGCCGCCGCCGCTGCTGCTGCTGCTGCCGCTGTCAGCAGCGGCAGCACTGATCGCTGTTGTCGACCACCGCCCAGCAGCGCCGCCACCGACTATCTTGCTCGTTGAACTCGGGGGCGGTCGGCGCGCCCCGAAGAGGGAGCCCCTCGCAGCAGAACCAGCAGCACCAGCAGGAGCGGATACACCACCGGCCCTAGCTCTCCCCTGCAGCCTCGAGCCACTGCTGGACCTCCCTGCTGCTGCCGTGGTCGTCCCCCATAATCGACGGTCATGTTGATGCACGGAAGTTGCAGCAGCTGTTGTTGTTGTGACGATGCTCGGTGCTCGAGGCACATGGCCGACGAAGCCTGTGCCTGTTTGCGCCAGGCACCCGAAGCACGCCAACAGGGGCAGTGCCTGCTTTAATCGTCTCTCGTCTCTGGTTCGCTGTCGTCTGCTGGCGGCCATGGCGGCGAGCGGGGAAGCCGGGCTTGTAGCCACTGACGACGCTGGCTGGCCGTGCGTCGCATGTCGCCGCCAAAGGTGTTCCGGGTGTTCCAGGTTTTTCGGCTGGCGTGCACAGGTCGGGGTAACTTGCTCAGCCAATCAGCGTGCAGCTTGATCGGATCCTTTTCATCCCACGGGACCTCCGGCCTCGCATGTCTCTCGGCTCTCTCCCTGCTGCTTGGAGCTCTCAATTCTGCTCTCTCTTGTCTTCTGCGCTGTGAAATACCCAGCAACACCTCCAGCACCAGCAACTCTTATCACACCAAATAACCGCAGCAAAGATGAAGCTGTTTGCGTTCCTCCTGGTGGTGCTTATCGGAGCCGCATCCGCGTTCGTCAGCCCCTCCGCCTTCAAGGGCAGCGCCTTGGCCGCGCCGCGCGCCACCCGCGGTGAGTGCGTGTACGCATCGAAAAAGAGGGCCGGGATCGATAGGTGGCACGGAAGGATCGGATGGAAGCCTCAGCTGCGAAGGTTGCTCACCTCACGGCTCCGTTGCTGTCACGCAGGAGCGCCTAAATTTGGCCTTCTGTTTTGTATGTGTTCACCCCTCCGTTTTTCCTTCTGCTGAAAATTGAAGACCGGGGTGGGTCAAGTGCGTTTGTATTTTTCGCGAGTTGACATGTTGTCTGGGGTGTGTGCGCACACGTGAGACTTGCGCAATAAGTCAAATGCCCTCATGAACCAACGAAAAGGAACGACATATGGAGAAAGCTAGGCGAGGGGGAGGGGGGAGTGGCATGCCAGGAGGGAGAGCTTTGGCGTGCCTACTGCTGTGGATAAATCGACGAGCAAATTGCTGCGGTCTGGTCATTGAGGATGACGGGTGGTGTTTGTCCTCTTGATCAAACAGCCCCCTCACCAAACACACACACAGCGTCCAGTTTTCTTCTGTTGCTGCTGTTTCTGTCTTTGATCCGAAGGATAGTTTAGCCTCCTCCATCCTGCCCCCTCACGGGGTCCCAGTTCATGGCAGATATAAGTGTTTTGTGCTTTCAACCGCACTAAGACTGACGTCTTTTCATTGGTCAGCCGGTTAGCGCGGTCGATGCTACAGTACTAATTAAAACACACACAGGTTTAGCGCGGTCGATGCTATTACTACAAGAAAGAGACGCACTTCGCCTTTGCTGTGCTTTAATTTGGACGATTTCGACTCTTGTCGTCTCTCGTATGTCGAGCTTTGTCCCTCACAGCAGCCCGAAAGTATGAATCAACCCCGAACCGCAACCTCTCCTTCGATCATGGGCGAACATAACCTCAACGGTTCTCCGTCGGGCAGCTCCGTTGCATACTTGCTGTGCTCTGTTGCCTCCAATATGAGTTTGAGAGGCTCCGTTCCGGAGTTACGCCATCAACCCTCCCTTTCGTATGCATAAATCGTGAACGCCTTTCGCTACCGCGAGATAGATATGATGATGATTCAGCAGTTCCTTCCCTAGAGTGCAACTAACTAACTCTGGCTGTGCTTTCTGTGACATGGGCACAGAGGATGCGGGAAAAGGCGAAAAGCTGCTTGCTCTTCTTGACGGGGATTCGAAGTAGCACACCCACACATGCAACAATGAAGCCATCGAGGTTCTCAAAACAACCACAGCAAACTTCAACGCGTGGACAAAAACCACAAACCCGTTTGTGAGAGGGTCTATACACGTGCAGTGCAGTTTTGCTTTGTCCTCGTGGTACATAGTACTCGCGAAGACGGTGGTTACTTGTAGACTAAAACCCCTTCCCATCTTCCGTGCGGTTCTCATGTGTCGAGGGAGCCCGCGGACTGGAAAGCATGTGCAACCGACCTGCTACAACACGAGACTGGCGTATTTCCATTGGCGAGCCGATTCAAAAAGCGGTAGTGCTGAGTCAAGAACACGCTCTCATTTCCTCACAAGTGCAACTTTCACATGCAAGCACAAGAGAGATTTTGCCGACTGGGTACTTGAAACCACTGCACACCCGGTTCGGTGCCTCTCGCTACATCTACGAGAGCCTGTAAGCGTCTGTTCTGCCCCCCCGAGGCGTCTAATTTTCCGTATACATCCGAAGCATTTTGTTCGGGACGTTTCTACTTGACCCCCTTGCTATCTCTGTTGCGCATGCTCCCTTTCTTGCTGGGATTGTCAATACCTTTCTACGGGTCGGTTAGTCCGAGGTCAATGGTCCGAGACAAAACAAACCAGCAGGAATTTAGGCTTCTCCCGCTCTCCTACACGCATGTGTGTGCTCAGGCTAACTGCTCAGCGTGTATTCGTTGCAACCGAGCAGGTCACCACATCTGCGTTACCGTGGTCTGATCGATGGTGGTTGTACTTGAGAAATTGTCGTTAAACAACGGTTGTACGTTGCCGCGTTGTTTCGGGTTCTTTTGAAACGTTCCTGTATCTCAGGGTGCTCTTTTGTTGGCTCCATTTGGCCCTATTCGAGAAAACTTGCGGACGCCTTTCTTTCGACCGCGCCCATCGTTGTAGTTGGCAGAACACAGTTGTCTCTTTTGCGATCTCCGAACTCTTCGGCTTGCATACGGCACAAACGTAAACCGGTGTGTAACGCCTACCTATTTTCCCCTTATGCCGTCCCTGAACATGGACTTGGGGGCGAAATGTCGACCCGTACCAGACGCGGGAGCGGTTGTGTTCAAGATTTTTGTGTGCCTTCCCAAGCATCATTTCTTCGTGTCACATTCATCGCTGAAAAAAAAACAAGCGATTTTGTCACTATTTGCCGCGAACAACGAAGGAAGGCAAACGTTTTTTGTACGGCCTGCCTCGAGTAGGTGATGAAACAGCTGGCCGACACGCCCGACCGAAACGTTCGTGCCGCTGGTTTTGCCGGGGAAGAAGCATCTTGCATGAATCTCGTTGAAATAAGTGCGAGGGATTAGCCCAATCGCCCTGCCCAAACGCTCGCAGGTATTGTCATCTGTGGCCACAGGCTTTCTTTGTGTGATTGGCGGCGATGAACTAACGCGTGTAACCATGAAGCTACCCCAAGCTTCCGTATACATGCATATGGTGCCCCATGTCACCCCCGTCATGACAGATTTGGTGGTTAAATGTTGTACATCCGTGAAGCTACTCAAGCTTCCGTATACATGCATATGGTGCCCCATGTCACCCCCGTCATGACAGATTTGGTGGTTAAATGTTGTACATCCGTGAAGCGATTGGCTCCGAGCCCTTTTCTTTTTTCCCGCTTGGGAGGACGATCTTATGACCGCCAACAGCAGGAGCACCAATGAATCATTTGTTCGTATGTACGAGAATCGGGGGCCAATGATGGTCATGTTGGAGAGTGACGTTCAGCGTCACATGTGGCGGCAGTTTCAATGACAGACAGCTGTAATTGCGTGCGAAGCCTGGCATGACCCAGCACACGTCCTGCGGCAGCTTCCAACGCCACCTTCGATTTGTTCACCGGGAAGCTTCGATCTCCTTGAACCTCCCGATCGAGGGCATGTTTTATCCCCGATACTCACCGTGCCCCCCCCCCGTATTCGATGCATTACAGCAACCTCCAAGGTGTCCGCCACGCCGGTGATGCTGGACACCTACTGGGAGGGCAAGGCGCCGCCGTCTGAGGTGCTCGGCCCTGCGCTGGCCAAGGCCCCGTCCGCGGGTCTCGGGGTCGTCTCCCTCGCTGCGTTCGCCGCGGGAACGTACTGCATCCACGAGACCAACATCTTGCACACGGTGTCGCCAGACAACATCCAGCCCCTCTACGTGGCAGGGGCGCTCCTGGTGCCGATCTCGTGGGGCCTGCACGTTGCTTCGTGGATCCAGAAGCAAAACGGAAAGTAGATTTGTTAATTTACCGTTGTTTTCTTTATCATAGGCGGCACTTGTTCATTTTTTCACTGCTCGGCGCACGAGTTCTTTGCTTTCGGGAACTGCCCGGCCTGCCTAGGCTGATTTAGTCTTTCGTTAACTCCGTAAGCGCTGTGTGCGAAAAGCAGTTCGCCAAGCGGCGCATTTACTGCTGTTGTTTCTCGTGCCGTGTCTTCTTTGAAGCGCACCTAAAGCAGGAGGCAATGGCGTGGAGGGGGCGGGGGGCGTCTGACGTTGTTTCTTGATCTCGTAGTTCTCGGCGTCAAGAGCGCGTTTGAATACACCTGTTGCCTCGAGGGCTGTATTCTGCGTGTGGGCACGCTTTTGAGGGATAGACCCGCCTTCAGAAGAGTCTGTGATGGAGGGAGGTTTAGATGGGATCTCGGGGTTTTTAGTTTAAAGCTAGAGAGGTCGGCAACATTGATTCATATGTCGGCAATCGAGGCGGCTTTTTTTGCCCTCCCAGAAAATATCAGAAGGCGACGACCAGGCTGCAGACGCAAACTCACGAACGGCGGGCTACAACTTGATAGTGTCTGCTACGGGTGATGCCTTGAGGGCATGTGTGTCCCCCTCTGCCAGGCGTGCTGTGTGTGGTTAATATGGACAGGCGTCTCTTTCTTAACGAGTCCTTCCTGTCAGAGCTCTCTCTGCCCAAGTTCAACCAAGCAATCTCGCAGAAAAGGCGATCCCGCTTGCTGCCTTGGTCGGCGGTTGGTTGTGCGTACTGCTGAGCATGTACCATGAACAAGCAATAACCAGAGGTCATGGCGGAGGCATAAATCGATCGCCCCGTCCACAGGATTCCCGTTTCAGAACCCTTGACACGGCAGTCAATAGTTGTGTTGCACCAACAACACGGACACGAACCGTGAGAATTTTCTCTGGTTGCGTTTGATGAACATGGTAGATCCCGACCCGGTCCGAACTATTCCGTCTCCGCGTGCAGCCGATTTCCATTTCTTCTCCGATGCAGGTGTAAAATGACTCCCTCCGCGCTCTCGATTCGTGGGCGGATGTCAGACCCATTTGGAAAGAACTGCTTGCAGGTTTAGTTTTCAGGAGAAGTACCACGTTAAACTCAAACTACAGGCACGAGTCCACGCTTGCTGTGTGAACGCACCACAAGATTGCCCCTACAGTCGTTCACCCAATCGAACAAAAACACAGCTGTGGCAACAGATGTTGCGTATTGTTCGTGCGGAGGGTTGGAAATTTTCCATGTCGCCCGCGGCAGCTGAAATAGCAACTTGCCACCGACCACGCTGGACACGGGGTATCAACGTTTCCTTCCCAACACAAACACCACGTGCAACCTTGTGCGTGCGTTCACAGGCGTTCCAGTGTCTTCCACGTGTGTTACCCCCAAACGGAAGGACACAGCTGAAACGACTTGTGGGTACTACCTGCGAGTGGTCAAACTACAGCTGATTTTTTCAGGTCCGGGTGATACTCTTGAGGCAGCTTGTTTTACTTCAAAGTATCTACGAAAGTCGCTATCTGCAGTGACGTCGGTATCCCTCAGAAGGACGAGGCCTGGAGGCCTAGTCCCGCCAAAGCGTCATCCGTTTGAGCGCGTGACACCTGAAGTCAACCCAGGGACGGGAGGGCACACACGGGGGCGGGTGTGCATGGCGGGACAATCACTTGTCAGTTTTGGTCGAACGTGTTGCCGTAGAACCTTCAGAGGAAGGCAAGCTCTCGGCGTGGGGCGGGAGGCTGGAGGGGGCATACATAGACATGCCTACCGATGAAAAAAACGATGTTCTCTTCGACACTAAGAATTGCACACGCAACTTTCTTCTTTTCTGCAAAAAAAAAAACAACTTCTCTATAAAAAAATGCTATGGTATTATTTTGACCAAGGATAGGGGGGGTACCGCCAAGAATCGGCGGATTGAACGGCTAACAACGTCACGAGGAGAGTACGCTCATTTCTAAGACGCCGACACCGCACTCGCTCGAGTGTATCCACAAGACAGAAAAAAAGCAGACACACGTACGTGTATCTAGAACGGGGGGTGAAGTTCTAGTCCAAAGAGGAAGAAACCTACGGCGGTGTATAATTTCAATTGGATAGTTTCAAGTCACGTGAACAGCAGCTGCCACAGATGGAGAGACCGCGTACCAAGAGCGTAGGCCCAGGTGTCAAACTCATTCATTCCCTCATTCGGTCGCGGTCTCCCGAAGATGTATGACCCAAACAAGGTACGGCGAAAGGAGTCGCCATCAACGTGCCCTCCTCCCCCGCTGCCCCCCGCAAGTCCATAAAGAGCCACAGCACACGCGACCTAAACAGCAACGCAACACAATCAAGGGGCTAAGATTGACCGCACCGTCTCCCTGTAGAACCTACCGCTATTTGCACAACCTGGGAGTTGACAACTTCAGGCTCAAAAAGATCGAACACATAAGGTCTCGGCAACAAGAGCCACAGGAAATCGCCCGCGACAAGTGTTAGACTAGTACGGACAGTAGAAGGTACTGGGTAGAGAGAATAAACGGTTTCAAATGTGAAGACAACAACCAACAATTAAGAACAGGTGCTCAGTGATGCATATGAGCCCCATACAAAACTTAATGTAGTCGTACTTGGCGTTACACCTTTCTGAGAGGCACAAGAAACGAGTCCCGGGGTCAAAAGATAAGAGATTATGATGCGGTGGGGGAGCCATCCTGTACCTGTCACAAGCCGACGCGTTCTTGTAGTTGCTCTTGCCGCACTTGAGGCACTCCCAGTCGCTCGATTGTATCCCCGCCCCTCCCCCCCCCGCCCCCCCCCCCCC